GCGGACTGGAGGTTGGGCGAGTGAGAGGTGAATGTGGAATGGAGGGAGAGGGGGTGGGTACAGATTACGGGAGAAGAGTTTAACGAACTGACAAACAATTAATAGGGTTAGAGAAAAAAAGGGTAAGTCAACTAGAGCCGTTTCGAGAAAAGTAAAAAAAAAAAAAGAAACGAAAAAAACCCCCAAACGACTGAACTTCAGCATGACGTTAAACTGCCGAATTTGGTTAATTTGTATAGGCGATAACTCTGCTTTAAAGCCATCCAGTCATTTCTTTCAAACGCTGTGTTAAGTAGTCTCCCTTGAAGTATTTTGGTATTCTAAGAGCTTTATTATATATATTTGTATATTAAAATTTAATTCATTTTCTTTTAGCGAGATGTGACTCATACCCTTCATTATTCTGACCTCTGACAATCTAAGCTTGTGTGATTTACCTCGTCTGTCCACATCATCGTCATAAATCCATTGAGAACAAAATTCTGAGTCTTGTCGTCCATTTCCACAATGGCAATAAGATCAAAGGAGATGCTGACATTGAGGACCTGCCGAATATCCAAACAATTTTAATTTTTCACAGCTGGAAGATCAACTTAACACTAGCTACCTATATGTATTATCAATTTGGCTTTTTCAGGCTAGGCTAGTGTTTGTTTCGCTTCTTTCTATGGGGCTTTCCTCTTTTTTTTTTGCTTGTCGCTTGCTTGGTACGAAAATGTGAGCCTCTCAAAAGCGAAAAAAAGTGGGTACTTGCATTATAAAGGCTGACAAGCACTGCAGTACATACTGAAGAAATTGTAGCCATTGACGCAATGCCATGGCTTCAAGAAAAGACACAAAATAAATCCAGACAAAGGGCAACGCATTATCGTTTTCTAAAGACATCCTTTTCCACAATCACGTTTGTTACACTGATGAAAATAACGACGTTCATTTCTAAGTTGGAGTAAACAACAATATGCACACTGCATGAAGTGTTGGGCTTTATTAAATGTATGTGTTTTACGACCCCCACTGACACAATTTAGATCATATAGGGGTCAGGTTTTGACCCTGCCTGTCAGGGCCAACTCAGCAGTCAGACCGAGATACTAGATAAAATTTCTCCAAACTCTGGATTCGAACTTAGGTCCCCTCCTTATGATGGGAAGCGCTTGGCCACTACAACACCAAAAGGCGGTGCATATTGTAAGGTTATACTGTCCTTTTGAGCTTTTTTTTTTTGTAGAATTGTGATCACATAATGGTTTTGTCAGGAAGCTGTGAATGTGTGGACTTCTGAATGTAAAATTGATTTCTAAGCCAGCCAGCTAGCTAGCCAAGAAGGGGATGGAGAATCTCATTTCTCTTTGCTTTAGGGGGAGGCAATGATGACACTGATGAACAATAAAAATTGGAGTTTTAATCTTGGCTTCATATCAAATTTTTAAGCTTTGTTTAGAAGGAAATACGAGGGGAAAATATCAGTTAAAAGGAAGGAGAAATTAAAAAGAATAGCTCTTTCGACTGATGTTTGCAGAATTGTAATGCAAAAGAAGCAAAAGTGTCCTGATCTTGAGACTGTCATGAGAAGAAGAAGAGATGTGAGTGAGAGACTGGAGTGATGTGTATAATCATATGAGTGAGTATGAGTGTGTATATGTGTGTGCATGCGCGCGCGCGCGCGCGTGTGTGTGTGTGTGTGTATGTGTGTTTGCGAGTGTGTGTGTATGTGTGCGTGCATTCGCGTGAGAACAAAATGACAGAATATAAATTGCGTGTGCGTGTGTGTGTGTGGGTATGTGCGAATACGTGTGTGTGTGTGTGTGTGT